TCCGCATTGCAGGTACATGAGAGCCACCTCGTTGAGAACGCAGACGAGTGCGATAATCTTCTAACAGAAATTCTTGTGGAACCAAGAATCGAGCTCGAAGAGCTTTCCGTTCGGCAAGCTCATCTTCCGTCATGACCGGGGGCCCGATGATGAAGGCATAACGATCGAGTTACCACGTCCTTCGCTTCCACAGCGGGATCAGACGGGCGGTAACCATATTCCACACGAGGGTCAATGATCGGCCGTGGATGGGCGCGCATCAAAGTCGCCTTACGGGCAGCTTCCAGCTGCCGTTTCTGTGCATCATCGGGGTCATTGGTGATGACGCCACGTCAGGTGATAAGAAATCGCGAAACGGTCATGGGGCCAACAAGGCGCGAACAGGGATCGTATCACGCTATTGGTGATGGCATGGTGTGACCACACTCAAACAATAATACGGTACGGGGCTGGATAGCCAGTAGTTATACATGTATTTAGATTCTGCTATACATATTTGGTTAAATCTATGCATTTAAAATTAGGCGACTTTGCCGCAGATAAAAATAAATAAAGTCAGTTTTGGATTTAAACGAAAGAGTTAATTAGGCCTTGTGTTAAGTTTGTAATTACTCTTGGAGTAAGCGGATTGCGATCTGCTGGACTTATACTTGTTCTACGTATAGAACGAAAGGTCGGTGGCCTAACTTACGCTTCCTCTAAGCGCAAAGCTACAGCAGTCCCGCTGCATATCTGCAATGTAGGTTTTGTACAGATCCTATTATTTAGTCCTTACAACCGCATGAATTCTTGCCGTATGTGAGGCTGTCTAGGTTCGCCTCTTACATTGAGTGCAAATAGTCGCTCCGCAACTAGGGCGTCGAATTGAAGACTAATGCTATCAAGTGCGACGGGGTTGCCGCGCGGCGAAGCGTTGAAATAAAGTGGCGACTTGTATGAACACACAGAGACTATGTCCGTACGCATCATCCAGGCAAGAGCCATCTTAGTATACCGGATGCTTCTTTGCTCTTAATTAGTTGAAATTAGACATATCTTACACACTAAGGCTATTTATTTATACTCGATGTATCAGTTTGTTTAGATAAACTATCAACATTACTTAGGCGAGAAGAAACAGTCTGCAGGCCTCACAGATCTCTCTTTCTGAGCCTTATCGTCTCAATTTCATCAATATTCCGGTTTTTCTGAAACATTGTCTGGTTACACAAGAAATGTGAGTGCGTATACCTGCACAAAACGGTTTTCTGCGCGATGTAGTCGGTGCATGAAGTGTAAGTACAAATTGGTAGCTTGTGTCTCGTTACGGTTGCACAGCTTTTTTGCTGAACTATTCACTGACGCTACCAAGTGCAACGGGGTTGCTGGGCGCCTTCAAAGATGGAGCTTTGACACATAACATCCGCGCTTACAGCATGCATCGATCCATTTCGTGCACATAGCTTATATGTGGAGCCGAGAGTATCAGGGGGTAGGTAATGTGAATGTGTGTACATACGCTTTACACATTTGGTACATCTGTATTCCATACAACACATTCTAATTGTTAAAATTGTGCTTGAAAAAAAGACACCTTCTTCCTCGCGAGCCGCGAAGCGGATCAGATGCAAGAAAGTTCGTTTTTATATTTGGCGTCGACATCATGTGTCAGAAAGATTTACAACATGTAACGAATCAATTGGATTTATGCCCTAAATTTTGGCAAGCATACTAAATGTCAAAAAGGTAGGCTACATTCATCCCTGGTTGCAGAGCACGGCTTTTGAATGTAAAGAGCTCATTTATAATTTCCATGCAGCGCTTGAATATACAGCTAAACAAACTGTTGGAAAACGTTTTCAGATGGCCGTCGGCGGTTTAAGTGGCCTTAGGGGTCGCGAGGGTTTCTCTGGGACTCAGGGGGTGGAGGGGGGCTCGGTCCAGGTGCAGGGAGAATGCCTTGGTTCTATTACATCAGTTGCTCTTTCACCATCCACATTCCGAAAGGGTTATGAGCCCAAGTGGGTCGCGCTAGGGGAATAACGATACAACGCCAAGGAACAATGGATCAACAACGTGTGGACATGCTGGTGCTCTTGGAGAAGACCAAAGACAAGTGGTCCAGCAGCTTTCCACCGATTTGCGTCGGCGAAGAGTTCGATTAACGTCAGCGCAAGTGCTTCTGCGGACGACGTTCAAGGTGTATGGGATCCTCGACATCGCAGAGTACAGGCTCAAGAGTGACCAACTCAGCACTGCGGAAGAGAAGGTAACTTTTGATCGCCTGTAGTGCAAGATTCAGCGCATGATGGATTCGGCGATACCGCCACACCGACTGCAGCAGGTCGACCACTTGGAGACCGGCACTGAGATATGGGCGGAGGTGAACGAGATCTACGAGAGACTCATGGACCCGTTGATCAAGGAGAGTATCATTCTCCGAAAGTGCGATGAGCTCAAGGAGCTCAAGTGCTCGCCAACAGGCGATATGAGCATTCATCTGGCCGAGATGCTTACGATCAAGTCGGCCGTGAAGAGCTACGGCTACGAATTCAAGGATATCAACATGAGGCAGATGATGCTGGGCAGTCTTCCTGACCTGTACCAGTATGAGCAGCTGCGCGGAGCAGTGAAGTATGGGTGTTTTGCGGAGATGACCCTGGATGGACTCCGCGCCTAAATTGAACAATCGGCTGTAGATCAGTTACTCTGCGGCAAGGGAAATCGTGCCACTAATACAGGTAGTGGCCAACGGCAGCTGCATGGTGGCAGCACAGGTGCTCACCATCAGCAACAAAATGGGAGTAAGAAAAATCAGCACGGTGATGGACAGCGAAAACCGAAGCGTGACAGAAAGAACAAAACTTGTCACTGGTGCAATGAGATCAATCACATCCAGGCTGACGGAACGGCTATTATCGATGGTGTTGCTGGGCCTGGTGCGGCTGCCACCAGTGGAGGTAACATTGGGACGAACACTGGGACGCAACGGCGTCAGCAGCGCTCCTATTGCACGAGTCACGGCGGCGAAGTCCGGGCGGACAGGCGTGGAGTTGTTAAAGATGAGCAAGGTGTGGCTGCTGGTGTTGCAATGGTCAGTCCGATGCTGGCCGTTCCGGACACGAAGAGTGAGGATAACAAGATGGCCAAATCGCTACCAGAGGGATAGCCATGATCGTGTTTCGACAAAGGTTCAAATGTGCACTTGACCGGTGATCGCTCTGTCTTTGTTCATCTCCAAGAAATTCACCCAGAACGTATTGGTGCAAATTTCGTTGGTGTGGCCGTCACGACGCTAACTCGTGCGTCCGGCATTGGTCGAGTGAAGATCATCACTGAGGTGGGCGACGCCGAGGCTGAGGTCTTTTTGGTTGATGTACTGTACCTGGAAGGCGCGTCACACAGACTGTTCTCGATACATCTCGCAATTGCCACGCAGAATTTCGAAATCTCGTACGATCGTGCAGCATCGACAATCAGTGCTTACTAAAACGGGGAGCAGGTAATCTGTGCTGTTCTTCCCGAAGGAATATGGGTGTTTGAGGCGAAGCGTCCAGAGGATGCTCTGCGACGCCCAGGTGTACCGCGTGTTATCGTCAGTTACACGATTGCGGACGGTGTGGCCACACTCGAGCAGTGGCACAACCGGACTGGACACACGAATGTTCAATATCTCAAGATCATGGCGGATCGTGGACTCGTGCGAGGCGTGATGATCACAAACAGGCAGCTCAAGACGTGTGATTCTTGCCATTTTGACAAGCAGAGACAGAAGCAACGTCAGCAAAAGTTGGATCGCCAAGTTACGGCTCCCAACGCGATTGTGTTTGCTGATGGGATGTTCCCGCCACAGAACAACGGCTCGCGATTTGTCGCGGGTCTTGTAATTATAAACGGCTGGAGCCGATATCTCACTGTGCTCTTGCTTACCAACAAGAGTGGAAAGATTGTGAGCAAGTACATGCAGCGCTACGTGCTGTGGGCGGAGCATCAAGCTGGTCGTGGGATCACGAAGATCGTCCAGCGTGAGCACGAGCCTGCAGAAAGCG